TCCCACACCACGAGTCCATGGACGTCCCAGGGTCTCGTGGTTGGGTCTCGTGTGGACGGTCTCTTGTGGTCGGGCCTCCACTGTGAGTGACCTTTCGCCGGAGTGATCTTCGGTGCGGGCACCAAGGGGCCTCTGGGCCTCCTGGATGAGGTCGGTGTAGATGGGGTCGGAGCGGAGGAAGGCGCCGCATCGCCGATGCATCGACGCTGCGGCTCGATGTGGAGCCCGCGCTTCCCCCCCCCCCGACGTCGCCGACGCCTCGTCGGCGTCGCCGATGCGTCACCGACACATCGCCGATGCATCGGCGAGGCATCGGCGATGCGATGCACTCCTCCGGCCCCATCTGCTCGGGCCCCTCCCTATCTAGGAGGCCTCTACGACTGGGCCCCCAGAGGGCCGAGCGCGGAGCGGCAGCAGCGGCCTGCGCGCCCAGGTCTCGCCTCCCCGCGCCCCCGCCGCGAGAAGCCACCGTCCCCAAAAGGGCCACTCGTGCCAAGGGGCCGCTCCTCCTCCTCCCTCCTCCTCCTCCTCCTTTTCCTCCTCCTCCTCCTCCTCCTCCTCCTCCTCCTCCTCCTCCTCCTCCTCCTCCTCTGGCGTGCCGTCGACAGGAGGGCGTGCCGCAGGCGGAGCGGCAGGACTGCCTCGTGTCCCAGCCGCAGCTCCTGCAGCGCCGGGGGGGCGGGGAGGAGCTGCAGGCGCGGCGCGGCTCCTGGTCGGAGCCCGTGCGGCGCCTGCCGCGCCCGGAGCCAGGCGCGGAGCGCAGCTCCGCGGACTTCGCGGGGCCGCACCAGCGCCGCGCGACCCTTGGCGCTGCGGGCAAGCTGGCGGCGCTGGCGAAGCTCGTGCAGGAGGAGGGCTTCGGTGGCGACCCCGACGAGGAGTCGCACGGTGGGCCGAGCCCCACGACGCTCGAGTCACTGGAGGAGTGCTCGTCCACCTCTGCGAGCGACGACGGCCAGGTGGCCCCCGCCGTCCTGGAGGTGCACGTGCCTCTCGGAGCCACGCTGCTCGAGATTTACTCTGGCTACGCGGACGAGGGGGCGGAGGTGCACGACAGGTTCACGCTCTTGGCATTCAAGCGCTTCGCGAGCCCTGGGACCAACGAGATTGCGCGCGATCGCCTGCACGACGCCCTCGTGCACGTGGGCTTCATGACCAGTACTCGGGAGCAAGCCCTCGACCTCGCCACGAAGCTGTCCAAGTTCCACAACTTCGACTACATGGACTTCTGCGAGTACGTGAGCAGGTTTGCCGCCCTGGAGCGCGCTGCCGTGCGCCGGCGCGCGGACGCGTGCGTGGCGGAGCGCTCCAGCCACGCCGGCGCCGCGGCGGCTCTCGAGCAGACTCAGCAGTTTCTCCGCTCCGCCGGCGTGTGCCTACCTTATAGCAGCGTGGAGAGTGCGCGGCAGGCAGCGCAGCTGGACCACGTGAGTCCAGAGGACATGAGCACCAACGACCTCCTGCTAACCCTGGCCTCGTGCAGGGTGGACGAAGGCTTCACCAAGGAGGAGGTAGCAGCCGCGCACCAGGTCTTCAGCGAGCTGGAGCAGGACCAGCGTGATCCTCCGGGTGGCTGGGGCCCCGTGGCCAAGGCTTCCATGCTTCTCGAAGGCTTGCTTCAGTTCACTGGCCTTTACAGCGTCGACTACATGGATTCGCTGGCGGACATATTGCCCTCCGACTCAGCTGAGCAGCAGAGCGTCTGCTTCCACGAGTTTCTAATCTGGGCGCGCCGGCTGCGCGACCCCATGATGCAGGACCTTTGGAAGTGTTTCAATGACTTTGACACCAGCGGCTCGGGCCTGATCCAGCTGGACACCGCCATCAGCATCGCGGCGAAGTTCGGCATCACCCTACTAACCGACGCTTTAGATGAGCTCGTGTCGGACCTTGACCTGCAGAACGCCAGCGCCCTGACCTTCGACACGGTGGTGCGGTTTATGTGCGCGGCGCGGAAGATGCATGGCTTCTCTCGCTCCGAGCGGGAGGATTTCAGCGCCGCCTTCCAGAAGTTCAATTACCACGGAACGGGCGAGCTGACGCACCTTCAGGTACTCGAACTGCTTCGGCACCTCGGGAATACCACCAGCGTCGACGAGGTCAGTTCCCTGATCAAGCGGGTTGATTTCAATAAGAACGGCTCAATGGACCGCCATGAGTTTTTGAGGTTGATGAGGTTCATGCGCGAGCAAGATATCCGGGGCGCCCGCAAGGCCTTCGATAAGCTGCGCAGCCCCACTGGCCAGATGCCCATCGGGTCTGTCAAGGATGCCCTGGCCAAGCTGCAGCTCTTCCCACAGGATAACGTGCTCGCCGAGCTCCTGCAAGACATGCCAGCAGAGGTATGCTTCACGTCCTTCATGCACATCAACGACCGATGCCGCTTCCGCATGAACCTCGAGTTCCGGATGCGCGCAGGCTTCCAAGAAAGCACTATCGCAGAGATCGCGAAGTTCTGGCATGGCGGTGATTCTCCGAGACGCTTTGCCACCATTGGCGAGCTCATTTGGATGTTCACTGGTTCACACGAGATCCCCGTGAACACGAGCACGTCTCGGCAGGATCTGCTGAAGCGCATGCGGTTCGCGACAGGTGCCGCTGTTGCTGCTGGAGTCCCAGAAGAAGAGGCGTCGCGTGAGCGTTCCACCGACATCGGCTTCTACACATTCGTCCATCTGGTCCGCGGCTTCGTGCGCGACTCGGAGCAGGAGGTCATCGACCGTGAGAAGGAGGCGGTGTCCTTCGCCCGTTTTCCGACCGGCGAGGTCGCGGAGCTCCGCCGCGTCTTCTCCGACCTGGCCGAGCGGGAGGCGAAAAGCTCGTCGGTCTGCAAGCAGCCCGCCGGGAGAGGACACAGCGTGGACAAGCTCCTCGCGCGGCTCACGAGGGTGCCGAGCATACCAGAGACCGCACTGCCGCTCCTGCTGAAATCCATCGGTCTCTGGGTGCCTCTCAGCAAGCTGCACGACCTGAGCCGGTTCTTGGCAGAGACGAGGAGCCGGGGCGAGGCGGACGAGAGCACGATCCAGTTTGCCACTTTCTTGAGGCTGTTTCGATGGATGTTTGACATTGATTTTGCTGGCATACGCAGTGTGCTGGACTTCCAGGAGGGTGATCGAGCGGAAGGCGTCGGGAGCGCCTGACTTTGCCTGTTTCCGATCTGGACCGGATTTTTACGGATGGCACGCGGTTGCGAGGCACGGAGTCCAGTGCTTCTGGATCCAGCCGTCACAAGAGGACCTCTGCTACTGGCTGGGTGCCAAATGCGGCGTCTACTGCCCCCTCCCGCCCTGTACTCGTCCCCGTTCCTGTCACACATCTGCTACTTCGCGCCTCCGCTCTTTTCCCCAGAGGCACTGCGGAGAGTCTTTGAGCAACAGCTACGTGCACGTGCCACAGGCCAGAGCTTATCTTCCGTCATGCTCTCTTCAGGAGCTTGTCCCCCATGCGCGCTGCGGCAGGTGATTGAGCGAGAGCTGGGTACACGCGCCGCAGGCCAGGGCTCATCCACCGTCGCCCTCTCTCCAGGGTCTTGTGATTACCACATCTTGTTTTCCGGATGCCATCTCTTGTGGCTTCTGGCGCTTCTTTTCCGGGGCTGATGGATGCTACCGGACGTTAATTAGCAGAATCTTCCTCCAAGGGGCGATTCGATCGCCATTCAGTAGTACAGTGCTTTTGCAGGCTCGTATGCGCTGCCATTCTGCGAAAGTCGCACGCGAACTCACGTCGGTTGCTTATTCGTTGCTCTTTTGCGGCCTCAGCGTTCGGCGAGTCTGCGAGGATAGTCGCGGCTGCCCAGCGCTGCCCTGCGCCCTTCGAACACCGCCGCTTGTTTCGAGGGGCCGTCAATTTCGTGAAACCCAATGTGTTACAACGCGCGCTACTCCGTTCAACATTTCCCGCTCGGTGCAAGCGATGTGAATACTTCCGCGCTGGCCCGTGGCCGTACGCCGACGCGTGCGGCGCATGTGAGCTTCGTAACGCGAGTGAGCTGCCGTTATTTTCAGTGTAACACGCGCGATAGGAACGCAGAGCTTGTCTTTGTGGCCGTTTGTGTCTTGTTCAACAGGCTCCATGCTAACGCTGCAGGAGGCCCATTGGAAGCCGAAAAGAAGAGAACACCGCGACCAGTTTACGATGTTGGCCTCTGAGGGGGCATCTTTGGGATGCTCCTTGGCCACCTCGAGCCATCTTGGAGACGTGTTGGACATCTTGGGGAGTTGGGCCAGCTGGAACCACAGAGTGCTATAGTTGACGCAATCTAGGACTCGATGGGACACGCGGCTCTTGTGTAGCCTTCGTGGGCCATATTCAATGCCCCACCGCTTCGCGACTGCCTGCTCCAGATCCTCGCGGAGGGTGCAATGGATGTGGATGCTTCTTCACGCGGACGGAGGGGATGCTTTGCAGGAGCTCATCCCCCAAACGACCTACGCCCAGAACCGCCTTGAGAGTTGATGCGTTCTTTGTTGTTTTGCCTGGGAGCCATCATTCCCTACATAGGCTCTGCCTAGAAGGGTTCTTACTGTCTAGCTTGAAGGGGCCGGGCAGTGCTACACGCCCCGGGCGGTTCCCCCAGTCCCCGCCCCGCGGTTCCCCCAGTCGCGCCCCCTTAGCTTAGCTTGGCTTAGCTTAGCCTGGCTTAGCTTAGCTTAGCTTGGCTTACCTTAGCTTAGCTTAGCTTAGCTTAGCCTAGCTTAGCTTAGCCTGATGTACCTTAGCGTAGCGTAGCATAGCATAACATGGCATAGCATAGCACAGCATAACATACCATAGCACAGTATTGCATAGCATAGCTTAGCATAGCTTAGCATAGCGCCCCCTTAGCTTGGCTTAGCTTATATCGTCTTAGCTTAGCTTGGCTTAGCTTAGCTCGGCTCAGCTTAGCTTAGCTTAGCTTGGCTTGGCTTACCTTAGCTTAGCTTAGCTGAGCTGACCGTAGCCTAATGTAGCTTAGCTTAGCGTAGCATAACATAGCATGGCATAGCATCGCACAGCATGGCATAACATAGCACAGTATTGCATAGCACAGCTTAGCATAGCTCAGCATAACATATATTATTTAGCTTTAGCTTCGCTTTAGTAGCTTAGCTGTAGCTTAGCGTTATCTTAGCTGTAGCTTAGCTTTAGCTTAGCTTTACCTTCGCTTTAGCTTAGATTTAGCGAAGCTTTAGCTTAGCTTTACCTTAGCTTTAGCTTAGCTACATCTTATGTATAGTTTAGCTTTAGCTTAACGTTCGTTTATCTTTCCCTTAGCTTTATCTTAGCTGCAGCTTAGCTTTAGCTTAGCTGTAACTTACCTTTAGCTTAGCTTCACCTTCGCTTTAGGTTAGCTGCACCTTAGCTTTAGCTCAGATTTAGCGTAGCTTTAGCTTAGCTTTAGCTTAGCGTTAGCTTATCTTTAGCTTAGCTTTAGCTTAGCTTCAGCTTAGCTTTAGCTAAGTTTTAGCTTAGCTTTAACTTAGCTCTAGCTTAGCTTTAGTTTAGCTTGAGCTTAACTTTAGTGTTACTACCAATGCTGCTTCCATGGGGGCTCCAACTCCTAGGTAGGGTCGCACTGGGATAATTGGACTCACTTGAAGCCTTTGGAGTGTTGCAAAGGCCAGTTTTTGAAGAGCAGCAGCATTAGCAGGTCAATCCGAACAAGAAACTGCAGCATCAGTCAGGATAAGTACACGGAGGATGATGACGAAGACGATCGGCTATTTTCATCCTGTTCTTGCTGTTGTTTCTCCTTCTGCTTCTCCTGATCCTCATCCTCGCCCTCCCCCTCCCCTGTTCTAGTGCTGCTTCTCATCCTGCTCATACTTCCCATGCTGCTGATCCTCATTATTTCCCTCGTGGTCTTCCTTCTCATCCTCTTCCTAGACATGGTTATGGTGTTTCTGATGGTCCTCCTCCACCTGCTCTCCGTAACCCTCATCCTCGTGCTCGTCATTGTCGTCGTCCCTTCCCATTGGGACCGTAAGCGGATTAGAATAATCTTTCACGTTAAGGAGGAGGAGCAGCAGTAGCCCCCCCAAACCTTCACATCATCATCAGCAGCACCATCATCATCATCGTCGTCGTCGTCATCATCATCAAACTCATAATTCTCATCAACATCAGCATCACCACCAGCATCATCAACATGCTGTGGTTGGCTATGTTCCTGATCATCAGCACCATTACCATCATTACCATCGTCAGCATCATCATTATCACCACCATCATAAACATCATTATCATCATCCTTCTCGTGATCTTGCTGCTGACTGAGGCTGATCACCCCCATCCTTGTCCTGCCCACTTCACCTCGCCATCTTCTCATCGAGCGGCATGGCAACGCCCATGAACTGGAACAGGCACCACGTTGTCAGGATGACGGTGAATCTGATTGGTCGGGGTCTCGCTATGCACACATGACCGAAGAATATGCCGGACATTTGGAACGTTGTTTACCATGTATTCATTCTCAGGGCGGCATGTGATATAGTTACCCTTGTTGGAGTGGACATATACGTTTCCACTTTAGTGTTGTACATGCGTATGCGTGTATAGGTGGGTATGCGTACGTATGCGCATCTGCCAGCTCCCCACTGATGCCCAGTTTTCCTGGTCAATCGTCATGATCCCTCGAAGTGGTTTTCATGATCTGTACGCACCCTTAACGCACTCACTTGGTCTCCTCAGGGTTCCTGGGGGACCTCTCCTCAGGATTCCGTTTGACGTCTGATCATGGCATGTGGGGTTCATGTGGTGCTTGTGTCTTTATGGACCATTAAGAAAGCGTTTCGGCTCCCAGGGCTTCATGCGGTTCTTTCGCCTTCATGGAGGATGCCTCTGTGGCCTGTAAGGCCTGAAACGGTTCCACCCGGATAATCTCAGGTTCCAGACGCTTTATCAAGGGTGCCCTCGAGGGCGCGAAGGTATTCGCGCTTCGCGCTTCGCGGTTCGGCTCCGATTCCTCCTCACCCTCCACTTCTCCCCTGGGAGGCGGCGCGAGAGAGCGAAGTTATTCGCACTTTGCTCTTTGCGCAGCGCGAAGCGCGAAGTTGGGAGCCCTTGCTTATGGTCCTTCGAGGAGCCCTTATAATTCCTGCAGCGCTCCTTCGGGGCCCTGGGAGTCTGGGTGTTCCGCCTGGCCCGGGCTTACCGCATGATTCCAGGTGCGGTGGACTTACAGTTTGAGCTCCCATCTGGCGGATTTGCTGCTTGATTCGATATGCGACGGGTTTATTCTAGACGCTTCGCGTAACCCCACCAGCCTCGGAGGAGGACTTGGAAAAGTTACTGAGGGACCTCCAGCCCACTCCCCAGCGTCCAGAGGAGAGGCATTGGTTTCTCCTGGTTGACAACCCCTCCCTCGAGGTCTCGTCCAACCTCCACTCAGGATGCGCGAACCGCCCAGAGGCCGCGCAGACAGTGGACATTGTGCGTGCGCTCCCGCCCGCCATGGGAAAGGGTACTACAGTGCGCGTCGTGGTTGGCTACCAGTTGCAATGTGCCGTCCTTGAA